ATATATATATATATATATTATATATTATATTATATATACATATATTTGTTATATATGATATTTTTTTAAATACATTTTATTGTAAGGATACCGTAGTCGAAACATTTTTATAATTATTACATTTTAACGAGTTATTACATTGGTTTTCTCGTTGATTCATTGGTGAGAGTTGGTTCAGAATGCATGTCAGGCAATATTAATTATTTACAGTACGATTGAATATTCCATCATACTCACGTAAATACAATATTAGATTTTGTGCAATACTATCAATCACACTTTTTTGTTTGACCTGGCGCCAAGAGAGAATATTTTTTGGCGTTTTGGTATATTAAATTTTCATTTTTTGTATTCACTCTCCTTAATTTTTATTATTTTGTTTTCTGGCAAATGTATGCTTGCAAATTTGTTTTTCCTGAAATGTTCATTTCCACCATATTAAATAAACCACCCATAACAATTTGAAGGTCTGCTCGTAATTCCTACAGAGAATATACTAGTATACAAATACACAAGCCCAAATCTCGGACAATACAAAAAAAACAAAAAACATATAGTTATTTTTAATATATACATAAATATTCTAGCGTTCTATCTTATAAAACTGCAGCCAATAGGCTAATAAAAATGATATGCATGAGAACAAACTAATTACACTAACCATTGTTAATACATTAACAAAATTTTACATTAAAAACCAAAACCAAAAATTCATTTCAAAAAATGAAGCTACATTATTTTTATTTAAACTATAAAAAGTACTGAAAATATCAATAGTTCTAAAAGAAGAAATTTGATTAAAAAGAGACAATGCACGGGGAATGTATGATGATTTGCTGATATTTAAACGACATTATTTTACATTGATCTATTTCTTTGAGTTATTTTGTGACATGCAAGAGACAGCGTAAAACAGTTGTATCTTCTTGAAAATTGAATGCGTAGTCGCACCTGCGTCGTAAGCAAAAAACCCAACTGATAGGGGTTTAAATATTTATTGTGTCTGTCTGAGATATTGTCAATAAAGCAAAAAATTAAAGTACAACATTATATATATTTATATATATATATATACATATATTTGTTATATATGATATTTTTTTAAATACATTTTATTGTAAGGATACCGTAGTCGAAAC